AGGAATGGCCTTCTCCCTCCAGTTGATACATTACAGTATTCCAATTATTTTATAAAGCAAAGAGAAGTTTAATAACCAAGCCTTTGAAACACCGTGATTAATGAGGTCTGCTTACCAAAGGCAAATGTAATTTCCCCTGGTAAGAGCTAGTAACTGAGAATGATTCTCACAAGCTTCATGAATTTATTTCAAGTTTCTGAATTTTCCAAGTGCTAGCTTTGGATATTTTGAATACAGACTGCATCCTGATATACCTGTTACCTGTCACTTTATGGAAACGCCTGCAAAACCAGGCTACTGAGTTCATCAGCTGTTTCACTCTCACTACCCTGTTTTCCTTCTCAGCTACCTTCTACAAGCCTGTGCATAGCACATCTAATCCACAGGGAGTTTCTGCATGTCCAGAGCCTCAGTTGGCTCCAAAGCCCAGCAACATGGTCCTGGGTCCTGCCCCAGAGCTTTCTGTCTGAGGCTACAGTCTGACAGATCTGTACTTCACTCAATTGTATGAATAATCGCAACAACTTTAATGAGAGTACTTAAATGCAAGGAGATGAGCGTATTCACGCCTGATTCTAAGATAAGGAAGCAAATTTGCATGTAGCCTCCACCCAAAATCAAAGATCCCAGATTCAAAATTTTAACGTTTTTGTCTATATCCATGTTCCAGATCTATGTTCAGAAACAAAGCGTTTCCAGAACTGTGCACAGTCCATATCAGCACAATGCAGAGTGTCTGACAGTATTGCCGATTCTTAGCCAGCCATAAAAATCTCCAAAACAATCTCTGTCCTCTCTCTCTCCAAAAGAAATGAGGGAGGTGGGGTCAAAGTGTAATGCATGGAGTTCATACAAATGTCCCTGGCGATTTTCTGACTTTCTATCAGCAACTATCAGTCCCAGGAAAACAAATCCACCCAATACCTCTCTAAAGTAAAAGAAGGGCAAAGCAAGGTGGCAGTGGTCCAGAGCTGTGCTCATCTGTACTACAGTAACTGAGCTGCATAATCTGTTTGCAGAGTTTTCAGTACCTCTACATGGACGGACTTGGAGGATGATTTCTTTAGGCGCCTGGTTTGCATCTCAGCCTTGAACAGAGAGGGATAACAATTGGTATACACCAATTTACACAGCAGGGGCAGAGTAAAATGCTTCTTTGGTCATTTGTTTAACGGCTAGAAAGGGCTTAACGTTCCCTGGTGAAAGCATACAAAAATTATTTCATTTTGAGGAAATAAGCATGATACTTATTTAGCTATACAGAGATTTATAGCTCATAGTCTCAGCGTGTAAAAGTTAAATCTAAATAGTTACTAATTTAAAAGTGCTGCTTTTTGCTGCTGAAGTGATAAAGGAATCTTCTGAAGAAATATTTTTTTATCCATAACTAACAGAGATTATAGGAGATATGATGTCAGGGTATTGCAAGATGGGAATAGTTACGCTTTTGTGAAGCTATAGCCAAATATTCTAATGGCTAAAAGCTGATTCCCTGAGCAGTTATTAAAGAGATACTGAGCTTTCTCTAACTATTACGTAGCATACATCTATAATTCTCACACACCAAACCCCCTCAAAATGAAATAATTATCAGAGAAAAACATTTTTCTCCATGTAATAGAAATGGAAGACCAGGTAATCTTTAATCTGAAATTGCTACCACGTTAAAAAAATAGTAATACTTTTAAAGAAGATTCTGGAAGGAGCGTTCTTTGCCTACTGAAGAGATTCACATTAAATAACTGAGCATATTAAGCCCTCCAGCAGAAACATATTCAGAAGATGTACACAGTAAGTGTCTATTTAAGTAGAAATGCAGAAGTGAATACCTATTAGTTTTTTCAGTTTTAATTGGTAGCTTCCCTTCAATTTAATTTCCCTTCAGACATCTTTTGCCTTATAATTCCTGGGGTGAAAGGAAGGACTTTAACAATATCTTTATACATCTTAAGGAATTTCTTTTTCTTCCCCTAGTTATCTCTGTATACACAATATTTCCTAATGTTTGTATTAATAATGACTTTTAAAAGAAATAAATACATGACTAACTCATGCTTAGCTTTGAGGCCCCACATCAGATCTACGTGACAACGAAAACTTTAGCACTAAGTGTCAGCATTCATTTCCAAAAGCATTTTAGCATGATTCAACACATCATTTTAATGCTGAATCCCTGTTATCCCTCACAAACCTCGCAAGACTACAAGCAGCAGTGAGCAGGGCACCAGCTTGTTTTCAAAAAAGACCTGCAGACATGTTTCCTCACAATAACTTGGACTGATCTGCAGCTCGGTGTGGCGATGCGCTCCTCCCACCCCACTTTTCTGCTTAAGCAATAGTCACCAGTGGCAGTCGTGATGGTTGCGTCTGGCTTAACTTGGACTCTGGGGAGATGGATAACACCACAACAGCTAAGGGCCATAAACCTCGCTCAACAGCTGAGGGCTAGCTGAGCATGTGCCTACCAAAATACGGCTGGTATGCAAATATGACTATGAGTCAATCATCTTACTTCAGTAATAGTGGACAGCCCAGGGCACATTGAGCAATCCTGCAGGGCAGCAGGCTGCACACCAGGATCTTCCCTTGAGTACGGACACCTCCCAAG